CACGTAGCGAGATCGCAGAGTTTTCATGGATCAGTAGGATTAGCAGTCAGCGATTGGAGCGATGAGGAACCAGTCATATCCGCAGACGAAAGCCCACTTTACTAGAATTGTAATTCAGAGTTAATGGATAATATAAAACTAAACGCATGCGTAAAAATAAGATAAAGCCAAATTACAAAAATTCTTATAAAAATTGCAAGAATAAGTGAATTTTACAGGATGTTATAGGAATTAAGCACTCCTATGTTTAGATATAAATCTATTGAAAAAAATTATAATGAGCCAAATAACTAGAAAAAGTCTTTTCTATATTATAAATTTGTGAGTTATTGACTGTTCATTGCTAAATCCTGAGTTACAAAAATGTGCTTTCTAAAGGTGATACTTAAAAATTATACAAAAATTAATGATATTAGTATTGAAATTAGTATTGAACGTCCAATTATTTGTGATTAATTTGTATGAAATGTCTTTTTCTCTTAAATTATTTCGTATTTTTTATTACACATTAAATGAATAATATTGCCTAAATATAAAAAATATTTCATGTATACAATAATATTAAAAAGAGAAAAAAGATTGATAAAAAAGACTTGAGATGTTTTAATTATGAAGCGAGAATATATTCGATTTATAATAAAGAGTGCTAAATATATAAAGAAATATATGTGTGTCATTGGTTTAATTATGATTGGACCAATCGTGTAGCGTTTATGTACAAATATTTTTATCTATATAAACGCATTTTGTTTCACATTGGTGCAGATGGTTTGTTTAATTATGAAATATTTACTTTAATAATAATTTGTAAAGTGTAAAATTTTTTCATTAAAAGCGCAAAGAACGAACACGCAAAAGAATTTTACATATAGGTTTGCGTGTCTTTCTTTGTCATGTTGCGAGAATTATGTACATTATGTTGCTTGTAATAGTGAATACAAACTCGCATTGGTACTCACGATTTCTTCCTGCTTGTATAACTATTGATACAGAAGAAAGAATGATGTGCTACGCTCTCTTCCAAAGCGTGTAATAAATTGTAGTAAATATTTTTCCTCTACGATAATTTAATGTGATCATGAAGGGCTTTACAATGATCTTAATTGTTAAGATGTATATATCACTGTCGATCGATTTAATTGTACATTCTTTCTTTCGATTTTACATAAGAATTAACCGATACGTTTGTCAATTTGGTTCGAAAAAAAAAATGAATTGTCTCTGTAATATATTCGACCAGGTAATATTAAATAACACTGACATAAACATAAGATATTTTATACATAAGTACTTGTTCAAAGGATTGTATCACTTGTTCATCATATGCTTGTTGTTCCAATATAAATGCGATGAAAATTTTATCTGAATTCCCTAGAGAATTTCATAAAATTTATACAAGTTCGTTGTGCATATCGCAAGCATTATGATAAAGAGTTATATTAATGCTCCCTTTATTGCATAATTTTTGGAAGATCATCCAACTACAACTTAAAGCAATTTTCTACGTTTCCTTTACTCTATATTTATATCTCAACGTTAAAGAAATAAAAATTTTAATTGAGAAATTAAGAAATTTATATTTTCTTATCGACATAATTTATAATTAATTAAGTTATATTTCTTAATTCGGAATTATGCAATAAAGATTGCAGAAGAATGTGATATTATGACAGGATTAGAAAGTTTTGAGTTAAATATGATTTGTTAGAAATTAATAGATAAATATATAATAGTTTTCTTAATTAAGTTTCTATGATGTTCGATTCTAAAAATATTTAATTCTGTAGTATTGTATGAATTGAATCTGTAGAATTTGTTAATATGTTGCAAAAATAATTTAGAAAAAATGGTGTGCGTCAATCATTAAAATTAAAATTTGTTTTTAATTTTTTGATCAATTTATAAAAAATATTTTATTTAAAATAATATATTTTCAAAATGCATTACGAAGTTAGTATTGACATTTGATAAAAAACATTTATTACATTTTATGTGCAATGCCGCGTATTGGAAGTTATTTTTTTATAAATTTATGCGTATAATTAAAATCTTACGATCGCACAAATTTATAATGTTCTTAAATACATTGGTTTCGCGTTCTTGATTTTTCTTTAAAAAAAAAAATGGGCTTCCAATGTGACACAAATTACTATATTTCCAAGATAAATACATCAAAACAATGAAAATACATGGAATGATATATGTTATTTTAATTGTGCAACTGGAAATATGAGGATCATGAATACAAAAGAAATCTTAGTTCATCTTAATTATAATTTTTTTTATAAATTTTATTTATCTAATGCAACAAACAGAAAGCTCAATTATTTCTAGAGATGCTTGCCGCCTAGATCCTTGCATTTCTAGACCGGTTATTAGCAAGCAACGATATGTTATTTTGCCAATGAATCTTTTAAATGTAACTAATTATTAACGAGTTCTAATTTTCTTTTTATCATGATATATTAAAATGTTTTATTAATATGATCTGAATCGTTTGTTTCTAAGTTATGTATGTACACAATTGCTATTCGCATAATAGCGTATAAAATGTGTGTTTCACATCTTATTTTGTCACACAGAAAGAAGCATGTGCATATATGTAATAACAAGCGATATATTTTTGTATATTTAAAGCCTATAGAGCCGTTAAGCGCGTTAAGTTTCAATTTTACCATTAATTAATTTTTATTAAAAATATATTTACACAATTCTTTTGCAGAAAAATGTTTGTGTAACAATTGTTATATATGATAGTGAAATATAACATCTGTATCTTAAAAATAAGAGTGTGTCAATCGATCGTATGTATCGTAATAATATATAAGTGTAAATCACAAAGTCGTTTGTTTTTTTTATTTGGAGTTGCGTTTTTACGAATCTCGCACAACTTAGCCAAGTTTCAAATGGCACTGAAAATTTAAATTCGTAGTTTATTTCGATCTGTTTCATTTTCTATCATGTATATCCGTGCGTTTGAGTTGTACGTCATTTATAAAAACTGAAACCAAGTTGCTACAAAAACTTTAACTCTTCGATTTTTTCTTAGATCATACTGTTGCTTATCGTATAGACAAAACTTGCAATATAGAAAATAAATATCTTCTTCTGTTCTCCATATATTAATATTTATAAATGTTAAAATAAAAAAAATTTTCATATTCTGTCCAACAAATAGTGTATACACAAAATATTAATCAAATATGAAAATATAAAAATACATAACTATCGTCGTATTATTTAAAAAATAATGTGAGACATCCGCATAAAATATTAATTAATTATGGAACTAAAGATTAATTTTAGTGATATTTTAAATATTATCCATGTAATCTGTGATCGATCAGTTGTCGATGTCTTTTTAGTTAAACTTGCAATAATCATCATTGCATGATTATTGATCAATGTTGATCAGCTGAATCAGCATGGATCGGCATGGTGCCGTTAGAAACGTGGTCATTGAGATTATCGACAACGCCTTGTTTTAGTGAGTAATGTTTTAGTTACGTTTCATTTAAATTAACACATTTAAATTTTAAACGTGTGTGTATATATATATATATATATATAATATCATATATTAATGATGAATAATATGAAAGATTTTCCATGATATAATGAAAATCTATCTATCTAACATTATAGGTTATCTTTATTTTATAGTACGCACATATATTTTCTTTTATATGTATCTATAAATTATTTAAAACTGTGACAACGTATTTTTTCAACTCGCGTGTACCTTCGCAGGTTTTATTTTATTAATACATTATTGAAAACCATGGACGACATCGCCCAGACAATCGTAGCGCAGGCAACAGATCCGAAAGTGGCGTTTATAGCCGCTGCTCTCTTCGGTTATTGTCTATATAAACTCATGACCATGGTAAATAGAAAAAGTCTTCAGCAAAGTTCCTTTACGGAAGACTCCGACGAAACAGATGATGACGACGTGGTAAAGAAAACGATATTACTTGAATTTTTCTCCAAAACTTTTGTAATTCTCTAATCTATTAAACAATCAATTGCAATTATTCTCTTTTTTTACACAGGTATATATGGATAAATATGATAATTATAAGTTGATTCTAATAATTAGAACGGATTTGAAAATGGGAAAAGGAAAAGTAGCAGCTCAGTGTTCACACGCTGCTGTTGCAGCATACAAAGCTGTTAGGAAACATCCAAAAATTTTAAGAGCATGGGAAAAATCTGGCCAAGCTAAAATCACTCTTAAGGTATTTCGAATAATATTAAATACTGATAATAAGTTAATAAAGAAAATATTTTTAATGAATTGAAAATGTATAATGAATGTATTCATATTGATCCAACATATTAAATATTCCTTATGACACGAACCAGATCGTAAGGTTTTAATCGAAAGAAACTATCACTGATGTTTAATAAATATATTTAACTATAGTATATACAGTTAAAATAAATATCTTTTCACACACATACGCACACACACACGCATGTATAAAAAAAAATGATATGTTAATTTCCAGGTGGACAGCGAGGCTGCTCTTATAGAGATAGCAAAGCAAGCTAAAGCTGCAGGTCTCTTATCGAACGTTGTACAGGATGCAGGACATACACAAATACCAGCAGGAAGTAAAACAGTATGTGCAGTCGGACCGGGTCCAGCAAAATTGATAGATCAAGTAACTGGTCATTTAAAGTTATTTTAATTGTTTATGAAATAAAGACCAATCTTTTGATATTTCTTTGACTTTATATTTTTTATTTTTAATATCCCCAAATATCTTATTTTATTTAAATTCAATTCTTTATTTAAATCACTCTGTTGGCAAAATTTTTTCTACGCAGAGAAATCTTAACACAATGTTAATGCTTTGAATTTTTAAAGAATATTTACATGCTTATTAAGAAGGCTAATACTACATGATTTTTATTGTCTCTATATCTTTTCACAAAGTAGAATTTTGAAATTAACATTCAACTCGTAAAATATATGAGCATTTAAATTTCCTTCATGTTAAGTTTTATCCAACATATTTAACAGTTTTCTCTTATATAATACTACATTTGTGTGTGTGTGTGTATGTGTGTGTGTGTGTGTGTGGATGTGTTTTGCGAAATACAAACGTAGTATAGAATGTGAATCCAAATTTACTTTCTAGCATAATTTATCAGAAATATGATAGTTGAAGTTAAAGCTCGGATGTTGGTGCAGCTAATATTATTTATTCTAGATATCAATGATAAATGGGAGGAAATAATTGATTCTTTTAGCTTATTAAACATCCGAACTCTACAGTCATTTTTTGCTATGTTAATTAAGAACGTTAATAATTAAACGTTTGGACGGATTACAATTAAAATCATACTTGAGCATATTAGCGCTTATTAGCGAGATTATTTCATCCTTGTACGTATATAGAACTCGTTACATTCACGAGTTCCAATATAAAGGGACATGTATGCAAATATGTGCATTTAGTAAATATTAAGGTATTTATGGTTCCTAATATATTCTTTCAGGTGTTTCATCTTGAATACCAAGAAATATTGGCAAATGAATGTGCTCGCACGTTTTTCGCCAATCGTTTTCTGTCAGTCTTGCTGTGATTGCAAGGCACTGACCACCTGTTTCTCAATGTGTCTCCCATTCTTTGGTACCCAATACTATACTTCGCGAAATTACGCTTTAACTTATAAATATAAATAATCTATATCGGTGGCGCGGGTGCTTTCCGAGGTATTTTATTCGAACTGGCGGCGCTGCACTGTGACTCCGCAATAGATCTACCGTCAGCCTCATCCCTCCGGCAGAGTTCTGACTCGTTCTGTATCCAATTCTGTGTCTGACTGTGGCTCACTGTTTTCGATTGCGACTCCTCGTTTTCGGATACAGCGTTCACTTCCTCCAGCAATTTCGATAATGACGGTGCTAGACCCAATCCCAAATTGCGCTCGTGATATACCTCCGATATCGTGGGCGTAAGCTCCCGCGTTAAACTCGTCAGGGAAGTGGCCAGATTCCTCAAATTCTGCGGATGTGTTTCCGTGGATTGTGTCGCGTCGGTCTGTGCACTGCAGATGTCCTCGTTTGTCGCTGTGGCATGCCGTGGTTTCCTCGACGTGTTCGTGTCAATCTCAGTTCTCACGCTCAACCTTTCCAATACATTAGCCGGCAAAGGTGGTAACGGTTGCCGCCTCAATACAGTGGCATGACCATTGTCCCAATCTGTTACTGAACTGCTCGAGCTTGAGCCAGGTCTTACCGGATTTTGTTCGGGATAAAGATTCCGGATACGAGTCTGATGATTCAAGTTAAGCGCCACAGGAGGACTAGGTGTAAATGCCACGTCTGATTCACCTGGAGTGTTCGAATATAATTTAAATTCTGTGATATATCTTATGAAATTTTACAGGAATCAAATGTATCTTATAAAAATGTTACTTTTAATATTTGAA